ATTAATTAATTATTATTAATTTTATATACACAAAATATTGCTGTGAAAAATAGACATGAGTATTAATATTTTATTTTGGGAAATATTGTTTTTAGTGGAACTTAAAAAACGTTCCGGTAATATTTTTCTACATTAGAATTTACATTCAGCAATTGTGCTAGGGGCAGAAACTCCTTTGTATGCCTGGGCATCAGTAGATGTCTTCACCCAAATCACTTTTATTACAATTTAGAATATATATTATAGTCATTTGGTATGACCGGTTTTCCAGTGTATATATGTATATATATATATATATATATATATATAAATTTCTTACTGACTTCGATCCTGTGAAACGCGAAATCACTTAGGGAATTGCCTGAACTACCCCCAACCCAATTGTCGGGGCAGATCTTGTGTTTATTTGTACGCAGCGTTACATATCATCCATCAATTGCAATGGAATAAGGACCGCATTACGTCTTTAAAATAATCTATTATGAAATCAATTCTATATTAAAATACTGTGATATATTTATACATTGATAAAGATTTCTCTGTAGTAACAGTACGGGAAGTTCCACCAGTTTGCCTTAACGCACGATACCACTAACCACTAGTCATTTTTATATAAAAAAGGTCCATAAGTGAAATATGCTGAATTCGGAATAATTTAATTTGGTAAAAGTGCTCTCTAGACAACCTGCAATTTATAGCGTGAATTTTGAAACCAACACAAATTAATAATAATATAATGGATCATGTCAGTGTAAGTTATTCTAAGAAAACAGTTATCAATGAGAGAATAGTTTTTTCACTAAGTTTTTAGTAATGTTGAAGTTTAGATTTTAGTGTTGTTGAATAATATTAAAACCGAAAGCTATTAGGCATATTTTTGTACCCTAAATCGATTTCTTACCTTGTATATCCCTTAATGTTCGACTCTGACTTGAACCCATGCCGTCTGTCTGTCTGCCCTGTCTTGCTTTTCTGATAAATCCTATTCGCCCTTGTTCAAATTTATCAACTCTTCAAACCGACTCTGGCCATGTACGTTTTTTGAATAAATAATGTGCTTTACTGCGAATACAGAGAAAATGTATAAGGACTTTTTGTATACAAGTGTAGTTTAGTTTGTATATTTTATTTTTTGGCTACTAGGATTAATTCACTGAAGGACTTTTTTTACAGAACTTGTGAAATTTAAAATAATGAATATTTAAATAATAAGCAGCACTCTCTAAATAGTAAAAATATTGAATATTCATATAATAACATTTTATCGTTTTGATTTGACTGCAATTTTGATTCAAGATATAATAACTCTTTAATTTTAACTTACTTTACGATGATGCCACAATATGGATTAAAAGCAATTTTTCTCTATTTTGACTTAATATTTTTCTTTGTATATATATATATATATATATATACGAGGTCTGTTCAAAAAGTTTTCGTAATTTTCGTTTTTTCAAAAAAATATTTATTTATTCGTCTACATTAATGTGGTCCCCTTCAAAGTAGTCCCCCCCAGATATAATACACTTATGCCAGCGTTTTTTTCCAATTTTCGAAGCACCCTGATATTCACTTTTTGATATGTCCTTGAGCACTCTCAGCGATTTTCTTCAATCGAGGAAAACCGCCGTCCTTTCATGGGTCTCTTCAACTTTGGGAATAGGAAAAAGTCACACGGAGCCATATCTGGTGAATTTTTGCACTTTGCAACACTTATTTCATTTTTACGCAAAATTTAATACAAATTCTTTGACTTTTCAATTCTTCCATTGTAAAAATCGCCGAGCTCAGAAAAACACGTCGAACCTTAGCGAGACTACCACAGAAAGTAAACAGTGAATATAGCTGAAAATTTCATCATACTTTAGGGGCATGTATACCAACACAATAAAAAAAAAATTTTGACAATCAGACACTCCAGACCCGCGAAATTTAATTATTAGTAATTCCGGGTACTTTTTGAACAGACCATGTATATATATATATATACATATATATATATCAAATTTATATAGATACAAAAACATAACAAATAAAATCAATAAAATATTATCCAAATGTAATAAAATAATAATAGTTTTTGACGATAAGCAAAAATTATGTTTGAAATAAACAATGAAATGGTTATTTAAATAGCTAAATCTTAATTCTTATTCATTCAGTATATTATTTCCACATTTCGGCAACATTTCATTCAATTTGTCTTGAGGTAAATTGAAACTTACTTCTACTTACTTTATACAATCATCTCATAATATTTCAAAAACTTTATATTTTATAATTTATTTTGTATTTTTCAAAAATTTCAAATTAAATAGTATATCATCACTATTATATACGCATGACGAATATAATCGTCAATACACAGAATTCTGCCTTTTTTCCATTACGATTATATTCGTTAATCACAGTTAACTGGTTAATATTATTATTTTTTATTACAATAATCAGAACGTAACTAGTGGGGTGCATGGCATCGTGCCTTAAGGCAAATGGCTGAAACTTATTTTTATTATGAATCCATAACCACTAGACCTGCCTTCCCAAAAATTTAATTAGTATTTCATCTTGTCAAAACAAGTAAAATGGTTTTCGAATTATTAAAATCGGACGCTCCGTTCTCTTGAAAACTGAGTTACCGTTTTTGGCACTTTTTGCCCGGTATAGTCGGAACTGCTGCACCTGCCTTTGCCTCGATTTATTTGCGATTACTATAACTTACTCTACGGGAAGTTAACAAGCCCAGGGCCAACTTCTTGAACGACGAGGTGCTTTTATAGGAGAAAACTCATTCGGTTGTCTCATCTATATGTGATGAATTTATTATCATAATT